CCCCTCTTCCGCTCCTTATTCCATACCACCCGTTTATTAGTTTCCAGCTTGCTACGACCGACGATCATGTGAAAGATCATATCTAGAATCTAGGTATCTGAATAAAACTTCTTTTTTTTGGTGTAAATGGCAAATTACCCTCAATATGAGTACCGGTACCGGGTTGGCAACCTCAATTTTCTATGCATTTTAAGTCTTTTGTACATTGGTTTATATATTTTTTATGAAACTGGTTTTCCCTAAATGGGGAAAGTTGTCACAGTAACTTACTAAAATCACAAAAATTCCATGATCTCTTGTTCTTTTATTCACTGAACGAGCAATAAAACAGATTTGTTCCTACTTGAGGTTGAATATGCCACCCCCCCTTTTTTTTCTTCCACCCCACCCTCGTTTATTAATTTTGGACCACTTGTCCACCCCCCACCCCTTTTCAATCCCTCACCGTCTCGTCTTTTATTTGATACCGAAGAGAAAGCGTATATTAATATTAGAGTTTTAAAAAATATACGCCGTGAGTTTGAAGCGGTGCCTCAGCGGGGATTTTAGAATTGTGGACAGTGCTGCAAAAAAAAAAAAAAAGGATGCGACATTAACTTACATTGCAGGAAGAAATAAGAAAATTCAGACCCACATGGAATCAAACGTCGAGCTTTTATTTGTCTGGTTGATAAAATAAATCAACAGCACTAAATGAGGCAGGTTCGTTGTTACGCCAGAGATCTGAATTCATTTGTGGTCAAGTTCTGACTCAGATCAGAATTTGGTATATTCCGAATTACTAGTAGTAGTTGCGTCTGATGTTCAATAAGAGATGGCGAAACTTGTTTTGGCTTGATTCTAGCTTGATAGAAAAAAAAGAACCTCTATGAAAGGTAATCCTCTAACCAAGGCTGAGTGCAGAACTTTCTTGCCCTAATATGAATATTATTATGCCATGCATTATTTATTAGTATCAGTGAAACAGCTGCAGCCTTTTAGAACTAATTTAGCTATATATGACAGTAGCATTACAAGCGAACAGACAAGTAAACACCGACAATTTGAAAAAGAAACTTAGGAAGTGAAAATAAACAAAGAAATAAGCAAACAAAACCAAAGAACAGGTCATTTTGTGTCAAAAGTACAGTTTTGCCTCTGAGTTTGACGTTTCTTGTATGATCAATCTAGCAAAACGAGATTGCCTTCTAACTGGTTATATGTTACAACTAGTCCAAGGTCCATGACTATTTTGCCGAATGAAAAAGAGTCAAAATATTTACTTTTAAAACTTCTCAGCCTTTTTCGATTCGTATTTGGTTATTGGGAAACTAGTGACCTTAATTTTAGCCTTTTGACTTCCCCTCACTTTAAGCTTCAATTGGACTCGTCTACCAGCTTGTCACAGGAACCCGACCCCCCCCAACCATACAGCTTCTTAAAAAAGATGTACAATTGTCTTGTGGTGTCCTCGCACTTCCACAAACAACCTTTTAAGTAAGTTTTTATCTTGCCTTGCCTT